CCCCCCCCCCCCCCCCCCCCCCTTCAATTAGCTCGCTGCTTATTAGCTTCTTCTCCCCTCCCCTCTCCCCTTTCAATTACACTATTATTATTATATATACGTACCACGTCCATTCCATTTTTTTAATTAATTATAAATATTTCCAATTTCCAATTTGCCAAGAACTTTCGCGTCTATCTTATCATTTACAATAATAATAATAGTAATACTCCATATATAATATAATATATATAATAACACCTTACATACCTTCAAGCTCTGCAAGTGCTATTAGTTGTTATTCCTTAGCAAAGAAAGAGGCCGGAGAGAATCAAGAAGAGGGTGGTGGCGAGAAATGGCGGCGATGGTCGGAGAAGAGAGCAAGTTGGAGCTGAGCTTGGGCCTTCCGGGCGGCGGCGGCGGCGGGGGAGGAGGGGTACTGTCTGCAGCAAAGGGGAAAAGAGGGTTTGAAGAAACTCAAGATGTGGATTTGAAGCTGAAGCTTTCATCTAATAATACTAAGGACTCCCCTATCCAAGCTTCTGACAAGGCCAATACCAATAAGCCCCCAGCCAAGTAATTATTATTTTTCTTTTCTTTTCAATTGTTTTTCCAAATTTTAATCATACTTTGATTTTTTTATACTCGTATTCATATATAACATTTTCTCTCTGCATCTCTATTTTCTCTACCTAGCTAAATACAGAGTATAAGAAAGCATCTTTTTAGGACAAAGAGAGTACATAGTAACTAGTAATTATGGAGCATTGAAAGAAAGCATTTTCTTTTCACTCTAAAGACTAAACATTAGTATTTTTTAGTCCATAGTTTTCAATGAAAATTCCTAAAGTTATCTCACCTTTCACTACACTAACCTTATCACAGTCATCCACATACTGACGGGTGTAGGTGTTTAATTGTTTATAGATATATGTCCCTGAGAAGGTAGGGTGCCCTTAGCATGGTCCTTTTTCAATTCTATACTGGGTCAAAAGATATTATATATCATTCTTATAACTGACTTCCTCAAATCCAAAAAGACATTCAAAGACCATTGTTCTAGAAATGAACTCATAAGATCTAGCTAGCTAGAGCATGTATCTCTACATGAGTCTGTATCTTTTACATATGGGATGCATTGAAAAGTTTAGCATATGTTGATTCAAAACTAAATTACAGAGTTTTATTTTCATAGAATTTTTTGGTTATTACGTATAATATTATACATACATTTCTTCGAAGTAAAATTAAATAAATAACTCAAATTTTTGAAACTTATTGGCGACTCCTTGTCATTTTTCACTATTAGGGTTAATAGGTTTTTATTATTACAATTGTTATTGTGTCCTCTTAGAATCTGTGTGCATATTTGCACAGAATTATTTCTAGCTAGCCTAGTTGTTTGTATCTAGCAAAGTAAATCCCCTTAATCCTACTATTATACTCTGTAATTTTTTCAACATAAAGTGTGTGCGAACAAATTTAATAAGTATAAATATAATGTTAAATGTGAACAGGGCACAGGTTGTGGGTTGGCCACCAGTGCGTGCATTCCGAAAGAATGTCATCGCAGCCAACAGCCAGGCCAAGGGAGGCGCCCAAGAGGGAAGCGACAAGGGAGCAGTTCTGGTCAAAGTAAGCATGGACGGGGCACCCTACCTTCGTAAGGTAGACCTCAACCTGTACAAGAGTTATCAGGAGCTCTCCGATGCCTTGACCAAGATGTTCGGCTCCTTCACTATTGGTACCCACCATTGCTTACTCGTAACGTGTGTGTGTGTGTAATACAATATTTATTGTATATGTGGTGTGCTTAGGTCTCTAACTATAGGTTTGAGTTTTTGGTTAAGTTGGTTCCTTGGCATATGCAGGAAACTACTGCGAAGGGGAAGGAGGGATGAAGGATTTCATGAATGAGAGCAAGTTGATGAATGTGCTGAGCAGTTCTGACTACGTCCCGACCTATGAGGACAAGGATGGTGATTGGATGCTTGTCGGTGATGTTCCGTGGGAGTAAGTCAATTAATTTGTTTAATTAGTTAATTAATTAAGCTAAGCTAATAATCACTCATTCGGTAAGAATATATGTTATTATGATAGTGAGCATATCCTATTAATCTATAGTGAACCTAACATGTTTATTGGTAAGCATGAATTATTCAGGTGCCCCATCCAGCTACTTCAATTCCTTATCCATCATAACCTAGCACATTAAATCTGAACTTAACCATCCATTTGCTAAAAATGCCTCAATTCAAAGTTTATAATTGATGTGACATTATTTGTCTCTTGGAAAGAGCCTCTCTACTTCTGAGTAGAGGTAAGGTTGCACACAAAGTCTCTCCTAGACCCTACTTTTTGTTGGATATTACTATGATTGTTGTTTTTGTTGACTAAAGTGACAATATTTTCCTGTGTTAGTTTGTTATCTCATATGTGAAACTAAATATTAGGAATTATTAATATTCATTGTGTGTTTTAAACTTGTTACACCTCGAGGATTTGTTTGACATTTCATGCCATTTAACGTTCCAAATATGGTAACTGAACAATTAATTTTGGCCAAAATGAGAAGATAAACAATTAGGTGCTGACAGAGGGAAAATTACAGAGTATTTCTTTATATTGTACCTATATGATTGCCCTTGTTTTCATATTTCTGATACCTTCTTGCGTGCAGGATGTTTGTGGAATCCTGCAAGCGCTTGCGCATTATGAAAGGAAAAGAAGCCATTGGACTTGGTAAGTGATCATCCATTCAAGCATTATCGCCTAAACGAGTAGATGAACGGTTTATATGTTGGTTTGTATTTACATATTCAAAAAAAGTAAATATATAATTTTTTCTAAAATGAAATAATGCTTTGCAGCACCTAGAGCAATGGAAAAATGCAAGAACAGAAGCTGAGGAAATGCAGCATATGGCTGGGTTGGGATTGTTCCGTTACTGATGGCGATGTTCGATATATATAAATTTGTGGGGTGATAGAAATGTGTCAGTTCGAATGGTTGAAAGAATTGAAGGTTGTATGCAGAATGTGGTTAATTGGGTTCTGTTTGTAATTTTTCAAGTGCGTGTCTGGTTTAATTTGGTGTTTCTTCAATACAATTACTGCTGCTAGTACACTGCTTCCAGTACAATTATTAAGCTGATTATGGTTTGCCTAATAATGGCTGGCTGTACTCCCCCCTTCCCACCAAAACCCCCAAGTATTTTAAGTACTTCTGTGTGCTATCTGTGTTCTTAATTTGTTAGCTTACTGATTTGTTCTTCATTTTTACTTTCAAAGTCACAATTTCTGCCGCCAAACACCTCAATTTAAGTTAAACAATGGTTTTCATGTTCTAATCTCTCAGTTTGAAAAAGCAGAAATTCCCTTTTTTGTATATACAAAAAAATGAATCGGAAAGGTAATCTATCAACATTAGAGAGTATTTATATACAGATATATATATATACCCGGGCCATGTAGCAAACAGGAATTAGCTAGGGATGGATTGAAACATCTTGAATAGAATCAATGGAGTTGATCACCAAATCTGCATTTTTCTTCGATTTCATGATAAGCTCAGCATTGGGTTTGTCATTGTATTCAATCTGCAAGTTTAAGGTGTCATCTTTAGCTTACAACGTCACCAAATGGTCATGCATTTAATTAATACTCCGTATAATGAGTTGGTTGGAATATAATCCAAAAAATGATGTAACAGACTTTGTGGTGAGCTTCAATTAGTTAGAAACTCTCGTAATGGAATTTTTGTACGAATCAGTCATCAATTCCGTCACAAAACAGTTTTTTTTGCAGTGTAAAAGACACATTTAAATAAGTACCCGCCATCTTGCAACATCATCGGGAAGTCTCCCTACACCACAGACCCACAAAAAAGAGGGCAAAAGCAGCCACTAGTCAGTCATAATCTTCCAACTTTATTCTTGTGTGTCACATTGAGAAAAAACAGTCAGCAGATCAACCTGTGGCAATATGCCTCTTCAAAACTCGTTGCATTGCTTTTTCAAGGTCAACGTCGATAAACCTACATACATGATTAGTGCATAAAGTGTGTGTATTAAAAACAATAAAGCACAAAAGCTGCACTCTCTCATGTATTGATTCCATCGCTGTGTTATGTTGCAAGTTAATTGGTCACTACACTAGGTAAAAAGGAAATGGATGAATTGGATTTTTTTTGGATCTCATAATAGATCACAAATGGATTAGTAGGTTGTTTACAATTCATCTATTCCAATTTGCAAGTATTTGAGAATCGAGCTGTATTTTAATTCTTACCACTTTTCATCAAATATTGATGAAATGTCATTCCAAACGCCCTCCTCCAACAACAAGTAATTGCCTTCAACTATCACCACCTTGTGACTGCAAGTCCCAATACAATAGGTGATGTAAGGATTGAATCATAATGTTGAAATTAGAAGATATCAACATTGAGAGAAAAAACTGGCTGGTCTATGGAGTATAGTTTACTTACTGAATATTCACAAATATATCATTTTCCGCTGGATCTCCAACACCATGGTCAAATGATGGAGCATATACTGATCCCTGGTGCAGAGAATAACTTCTACTATGTTATAAATAAATGTGTTGACCAACGTCAGATATGATTATCTACTTACCTCATCCCTCAGAGTTTGTAAACATGTTAAAAGTGCAGCCGGATCAAATGTCCATGGAGCTGAATTCGTAAAGGTGAAAAACAAATTAGATATTTACCTGATCATTCAGAGTTTATCTATGCTTTAAAACACTACTTGGTTTTCTAAGTTTATCTTTTTTATTTTTCCGGGCCAAGAGAGAAAAATAATTAAAATGGAAACATTTTGACAAAAAAGTACTCGGTATAAAGAACCTATCTTTGTACTTACAAAATTCCCAAATTTGTGCTTATGAAATTCCCATGAAATGGAGATGCCACATTCAATTCTGGACACTCTTGCATTCACGCAAATAGTAAAAATTACACTACTCTTGAATACTCCGTAAAAAGTCTAGTGCAAACAGCAAAGAAGACAGAATAAGGTATAGACTGGTAGTTCACTTGAAACTATGTTTGGTTTAACCGTTTAAGGAATTTGAGAGAGAAAAGAAAAGAAAATGATATGTAAAATAATTTTTTATGTTTGATTAGAGAGGAAAAGAAAATAATATGCAAAAGTAAGCTAAGAATAGGGAAAACATGATTCCTTCCATTTTGGCGAGGAAAAGGAGAGAGATCATTTTCTTTTCCTTTCTTTCCTAATTCCTTGAACGGTTGAACCAAACATAGTGGAAGAGTTGTGATTTAAAAGAAACTAACCTCCCCTCCTGGCATGTGCTTCGTCTGGATCCTACCAACCAAAGAAGAATAGTCATGCAGTAATATATCCAAAAAAAAGTCAACATAATGTTCATAAATACTCAGGTATAACGTCAGCGTTTATGGACTTTATAAATAATGTAGGTGTAGAAAACAAGCAATTAAGAAACCCAACCTCCATTGCATCAAGTTGATGGCGATAGAGATGGAATCCATCCATTGGAAGAACAATGGCAGCTTCAGGTGTTTCCACTTGGGAATCAAAGGAACAAGATTTTTGTGGCCACATCATATTAACTCTCTTAGCCACCTCACAGGCAAGAGTGGACTTTCCTGCACCAGGAGGACCGGCCAGACCAACAATATGCCTGCACATGTTTGAGTATTAATTTGCTACAGAGAAACTTTGCATTTGCCCGGTGGCGGGCGAATGCTATGATGAAAGTGAAGAATCAACTCCATACATTTGGCATGGAACACGTATCTATTCCATGACGAACAATGACGAAATCCTACAGCTCTGAAAGTAAAAGGCAAGCATTTGCAATACTGAAGAAACTATAACCTACTTGAAATTGGGATTTGATGCGGCAGCAGCTGTAGGAACAATGCGTTTGGCCAGGGTATTATATATGTCATCCATGCATCTAAAACCATATATTGAAGGATCTTAAATTTCATTACTCTGTTACAGCATTACACACAAATACTTGCATCATCTTTTCAAATAATAATAATGAAATAGATATTTCCATCATGTTTATTGTCAAAATCAGGAACTTGTAAATATTATAATTCATTTACTCCGTATAAAGCAAAAGGAATTGTTGAAACAAGAAGAAATGAAGACATCATACCCCGCATCGATGACCGGAATTTCTTTCCTCTGGCAACATACCTAACCAAATCAAACCAAACAAGCTCAGTAAATTATACTCAGAAGAAAGTACAATCTAGGGAAGATGCCCTTCCAATCAAAGCATCCCCTTAAGATCAATATCAACAGTTGAATGACAAATTTTAAAATCTAATTACCTAAAATGAAATTTTCAAAAAATTGTCAAGGGTAAAGGCATCCTAAAATTCCGATCGCAGACACTGAAAACATATACTGAAACTGTACCTGCAAGTGATTTGCCTTCGGAGTTGAATGCAATGGAAAACCAACTGCCCCCCTTTCAATCCGGGAAAACGAAAAGTGGCATTGATGAAACTCCACTCTTCTGCGCAGGAGCAAATTCTCTGCAAATTTGAACAGATAAAGGAGAAACAGAAATCATCAGTTCTCTTGTGCGCGGAAGCGCGAACGAGGATAAGAAAAAGATATAAATGTTTATACGTTTCCTTTTCGCGCCTGAGGGGGCACGGTAGAGCTTCGCGGAGCTGGTCGATAGAGACGCCGAGAACTCCATTTCCAGATTCAGGATTGAGGAGAGAAATTACAGCTTGATTCAATTTGCATCTGCGTTTCGACGGAGTGATGAAGATGAAGATGATCTTGGATCCGAATTGGTTGGGCCGTTTCTGCTTGATTTTCGTGGGAATCTAACAAAAACACACAGACACACATTAACTCAGTTGGCGCTCTATCCAGGACCGGACCGAATAGGCTATTGGGATCTAACGAGTTCGGGTTAATAGGGTGTTTGAAAGTGATTAACTTATGGATAAAGTGATTTCCACAAAAGTTGAAAGCAGAAGCACTTCCTACCTGCTTCTCCGAAACGGTGTTCTATGTACAAAATAGTGGTGGTGAAAAGCAGAAGCTGACATGCCAAACAGAATAAAATCACTTATACTCAAAGCAGAAGCTAAATGATTAAAAGCAACATACTGCCAAACAGCTTCTTAGTAGGGTTCAACTTTTTTTTATTTAGTGACTGTTTGGCAACTTCTGAATAGGTAAGTGCTGAACCAGTAAGAGGTCTGAACCATTAAGTGCTGAACCAGTAAGAGGTCTGAATCATTAAAAACTAGTATATTGCTTAACTATTCAGAGGCAAATGTCTGATCAATTCAGATACGAGGTTTTAACCATTCAGACTCTGTATAATATTTAACCATTCAGAGGCAAATCTCTTAACCATTCAGACACCTGAACCATTAAGAGACTGAAACAAACAGTTTAAACCATTAAGTGCTGAACCATTCAGACATCTGAACCATTAAGAGGCTGAAACAAACAGCCTCTTACTCCTTATAAAATAGAGTAATGCTAGAGTCACAAACAAACAATTCACAAAATTTACAAACTTACCTTTTTAATATTTTTCTAAAAATAAGATGTACTCAAATGAATTGGTGTATTAACTCATATACAGGGTATGTTCTAGGATAAATAAATCTACAAATTCATTAAAAGATGTTGTTAGAAACACTTCAAATATTAATTTTTTATAGTTATTGACTCGATTATAATATAATACTTCGTAGTGTTTATTTATACTTTTTTAACGATAAATTTTGGATAGTAGATCTTCTACCACTCAAGCCAAAAGAGAAATTATAAAAACATTGTTTATTATTTAGGGGATAGTTTTGTAATGAAAGACAATGGGTAATATTTTTTAAAACTACTCAGTATTTTTAAAACACATGTCCCAAGAGTATCGCCTTAGTTT